CACTGTATTTATAATTAACACAATTTATTGAGACAAACAACAAATATTTTTTGTTTTAACAATCAAACACAATAAAAATTAAACAAATATCTAATTTCTAATGTTTTATATGCAGATTAAATAGGTCTTTATTGTATAGGTCTAATTGTCTCCCGAGGCCACAGGAGGGCGCAATGAGCAAAATAATGCAGCGCATTTAAATTGTCAACGCAAGGAAGTAACCCTATAAAAACGTGCATAACGTCTAAACTAACTTTAAATTTCGTAAATTGCATAAACAATTATGAACAAAACAGCATCATGTATTTATGCATTGCTTAATCCAAAGAGCCAAAGCGCCATTCACACAGACTGCATTTAAAAACATATGAGACGCAGTGAAAAGGAATAAACCTCCACAAATTTGTGACGTGTTTTCTAAAAGTTTAAACTGTCTTAACTTTGCATGGCTTTCTATACATCTCTTCTGTGAGATGCGAGTGCTGCAGTCATATTTGTCCGTCTAAAAAATGCGCTGAATATGCGTTCTGTGTGAATGGCTTGGTTTCGAGATTTCAAGATCTTCTCCGCATTGAGCTTCTATATTTCTCTAATATTTTGAATGAATAACGCAGCAGCAGCACGTCTCGTGGGCTAGACTAACAAAACATTAAAATGCAACAACGTCACTTACATCATCACCGCATCTCGCGCGCCACTGATGACGCTCCCTGATGCACACCTAACATTCAAATGCAAATGTTTATTTTAAATTCGACTAATATTCATTCTTTATTCACAATCTCCTCATCACAGGCAGGCACAGCACTCATTTCAGCATGTGTTCGTGTTTGTGTGTGCTGTCTGCGTCACTCATAGTACACGTGCCTATATCGTGCGCTATATCGAACAATTTTTCTATCGATATCGAAGAAGGTGTACCGTCGATAAACATCGATACCGTTTTATCGCCCAGGCCTATTAGAAACTATTTACATGCAGGGTTTTGTATTTTTTTGCATGAAGTCATTTATAGACAGCAGACAAAGGTGTGTTTTCCAAGGCAATGCTAATGAGTGAGCACTGTTTTTCCCTTTTGTTTTTTCACTACTATATTTTTAAGCAAACATGGTGATAAAAGCACAGGTTGGTGATCAAGCTTTTCTCTCTTTTAATAGCTGATGGATATCATGTCTTTTTTTCTCTCTCACCCTTCATATTTTGGGCAGCTTTGGTGCACTTATGATGGGGTTGGTCTCCTGTAGAAAGCGTCGGCCTGCGCTTTTGTAGTCGTAGGTGCAGTCGTGGGTTTCTGAGTAGCGGTGCATGGAACAGAAGATGTTGCCACACCTTACACAAAAATAAACAGATATCTTTATGAGAACGGCAATAATCAGACAGCAGTCTAACCAATGTTTCCTCTAAGCTGTGTGAGAGAAAGTGCACTTCTGAAATGGCTTCCTCAGAACTGAATAAATGGATGGTGTCTGAAATTAATCCGGATGTCCATTGATTTTCAGTATGGAACTAAAGCTCTTAGAAAACTATACAGAAAAAAAGCTCACAGCGAGACCAAATCGCTTGTTTCAATATACATCCCACACAGATGCATCTTGTTTTCACCAGGGCTTATTTTTCTTGTGAAACCGATATAACAAAAGTAACTTCAACAAAACAATTATTGACTTTTTTAACTGTAATTCTAGACTACATGCATTTAATAAAAATATAGTAATACGGTGAAATATTACCATTTAAAATATCTGAGTATTAACATTTAAAATGGCTATTTTCTTTGTGAATATTCTTTAAAATGTAATTAATTTTTGTGATGGCAAAGCTGAAATTTCAGCAGTCATTATTCCAGGCTTCAGTGTCACATGATCCTTCAGAAATCCTCCTAATATACTGATTTGCTGCTCAAGAATCATTTCCTAAGGCCCGTTCAAGAATGATAATTATAAAGATAGCTATATGATCATCCACACGAACAGATGATATTATTTTTATTATAAGAGCACGCTGCGGCTTTGGCATCTGCTGCTTAAATGTTCAAGCTCTTTAAAGTCTGGTCAATTCTGATTGGCTATCATTGTTTTTATCATTCATAAGCTGAAAAAAATTGTTCTGAAAGTAATTCCAATTACATTGTTCCTGTGTTTTTATCACTGTATTGTGCTGTAGAATTTAGTCATAGTCATCATAATTGGTGTGGATGGGCCTTTAATATTATTCTTGATAAAATAGATGTGCTACTTGGTAGTAGGCTTTTGTATTCATTAAAAATTCATTATATTATATTGACTATAAATGTTCAAATGAATAAATGATATATCATTTTTGAGAACTCTAAAAATATTTTAGCGAACTACATTTAAATCACATATACTAATATTTACTGCAGGAAAAGTAACATGTCATTCCAAACTAATTTAAAACATTATAAACATAACATCCAAAAATCCCAATCCACCCAACATAAGGTCAAACAATTTAAGCTATAAGCCAAACATATATGACCATATATTGGAAGGATCAAATGTGATGATTTAAGAATAAACCATAAAACTCATATTGGCAAATGTAAATATTAGGACATGTGTCCTTGTATAGTGATTACAGCCATGCTATGAACAAACAAATCTGTCATGTTGAAAAGAAAGCACTGTTTGTATCATACTATTGTATATTATTTTGTATCAGTCTAGCTGGATGGATTATATAAGGCACAGGAGAGAATAATAGACACAGCTTTCTTTTTAGTCCTATTCAAAGACGCATCATATAAGACTTTGCCTTGATCAAAGCTTCAAGACAACATACCGAGAAACTGAAGAAAGTCACACATGGTGTTATCAGCAATGGCACATGACATATATCAGAACTACGGTCACCCCCAAACCGAAATAGCTCTATTTTATGCCACTGCGCATGCACCAAATGAAGTGCATACTTCCCTTTAAGATTATAGATATACATTAACTTCCCTTGTTGTATAATAATGAAAACCTCATACAGAGGGATCCGCACTGTACCTGCATTCATAGCTGGTGGCCAACCCGGTCTTCTTCCCACAGAGGAAGCAGTGCTTTGAACTCTTTTTCTTTGTTCCAGTGGGAACCTTCACAGGGGGCAAGTGATGTGTTGGAGTGCCTAAACCAACATGTCCACAAACACAGACAATCACAGGAATAGAACAAGAGAGACAGCTACAACAACTATAAAATATAGATTCATGTACTTGAACCTCCCTGTTTATTTCTACACAAGTCACAACAATAAAGAGCAAGGAAAAGACACACATTGTGACAAAAAATGCCAAGCACTGGGGCATGAGATTGGATTTCCAGTCATGTACTTGCTGGTCTATCTATTCTGTTATTTGCAATCACTGTTGCATTTTCAAGCCAGTGACAATCTCAGATGTGACAGAACATTCAGACGCTCTGAAAAACTGGCGGTAAAATGTCAGGGAACATTTCCCAAATGTATCAGGACCACCTGTTGCAAAACCATCATCCAGGCTCTTAAGTGCTCATGCAGGCAGTCTCTCTAAGCATCACACTGAGTCTGAGTGAAGATGTGCTTCTCTTTTGTGTGTAATTTTGCATGCATGCTTTTGTAAACATGTGACTGTGTGAATATTTATCTATGCAACTGAGCTGCGGTGATCATTTCCCGTTTCTTGGTTTCAGTCAGCAGTTATTCTCTGTATGACAGTGAATATTTTGTATTTGCTGGCCTCATTTAAAATGCAACGCCTCCTGTAAGACAGTGCAGATCAGCCCTGCAATCCTCACCCCTCAAACTGACCTCCTGGAAAAGATTTTATAGACTGGTATGCAGTATTGGGCATACAAATAAATCGTACAATGTTTGGCTAAAACCCCTGCCTGCTTAACCTATGAAAAATGTTCCCAAAATGTAATACAGCTATAGCTACCATTTAATATTTTCCAGTTTTGTGACAACATTCAATGTATATCTCAATATTTAGGTATTTGCATCATTTTGGCATCGTTAGTCAGTTGGGAGCAAAATGTTTAATGTAAAAAACTAAAATATTAGATACTTGTTTTCCATATAGCTGTTCACTACATAATCAAAAAAAGAAAAAAGTAATCTTTTTCATTTATATGCACCAACATAGCAATACACATTAATAAAGGCATACAGAGACATCTCTGTGAACCTGTCTGATTAATGAAGCAAATTAATTGGGAATCGATTAACGGTTTACTGTTCTCATACAGTCTCAAGGATCATGAAACTAATCTAATGACCTGCTCTTTAATAAACTTAAAGGACAAAGTAAAATCACAGTGTTGCTTAATTTTATATTGAAAGCAAAATCAACACAAATACACTAAAAAGTTTGGGATTTTTTCATGTTTTTGAAAAAAAAGTATCTTATGGTCAAAGTCTTATCTTATATCAAAGACTGCATTTGTTTTATCACAAATACAGCAAAATAGTAATATTGTACTATTACAATTTAAAATAACCATTTTCATTTTAACATGATGATTTGATGCTCGAGATACATTTATTATTATCAATGTTGAAAACAGTTGCTTAATATTGCTTAATAATGTGGAATCTGTGATATTTCTTTAAGATACTTTGACAAATAGAAAGTTCAAAAGAACAGCATTTATCTTTTTTAGCAATGTAAAAGTTTTTGCTGTCACTTTTGAACAATTTATTGCATCCTTGCTGAATTGAAGTATTAATTTCTTAAAAAAAAATAAAATAATCCAAGTTCAATCCAAGTTGGGCATTAGCACTGAACTAGGCTGGAGGCAGCTTGAACGTTTCACAAAGTGCAGCATGACATTAAAGCAGTGGCCTGTGGATTTACAGAGTAAGACAGGTGTAAAAATGTTTAAAGCAGTGGCGAGTGGAAAAGTAGGACAAACGGCCGACATGAATGACATTTCTCTCAACAACAAAAATGTTTCTCTCTGATACGGGCCAGCGCTGTGAGATGGTGTTCTTAATGCTTAATTTCACACTGTTTATGTCAAGCCACTCACCTAATCTCTTTATTGAACTGGAGAGGCCGCTTGATGAGCTTGACGGCTGCAACGGCAAGATTTCGCATGATAAAACATTCGTGAGATTGCCACAGCACTATTCTCATTAGCTGAAATGCCAAAACTAATGAATTGCACTTGTAATCTGTCTTGCACGGTGTATAATATGCAGCAAGTGTCTTTTTGTGACAAGAAACACGCTCTAGTAGTACTAATTTGCACGAAAGCATCCGCATGTCATATTGAGTTAAAGCAAATACGGTTTCTCCTTGTAGCCCGCTGAGATCAAATGAACATCAGGTTTTTGAAGCTGTACAAACAGTAGATCTGTAAAAGCAGCAGCATAAGTCAAGGTTACAAACTCACCGTGTGGCCGGCTGCTCTCTGTAGGGGGGAGATCCTCCTCAGCAGGTCTTCCTGCAACAGATGGATGTTGGTTGGTAGGGGGGCGGCTGTAGCACATAACCTGCCCAGAGCAAAGGGCCCAGCCAGGGCCTCTTGACCACCACCACCTGCAAGGGAGGCCAGGAGCTCTGCGTTGCTTACCGAACCCAATGGCTCTTTAGTCGCTTTATTAGCCATCTTCGTAATGTTTCGGGCCTCGCTTTTGGAAACCACCTCCGAATGCTTGTCGACTTTGAGCCCACATACAGATGTGGTCCGTGACGGGGAGCTGACCGGAAGCGACGGGCTGTTGCTAATTCTGAGGAGAGCTTGGACTGGACTGGAGGAACCCGTAAACTCAAAGTGCTGCGGCATTTGAGGAGGTGTGAGAGGGTCAGATTGGGACACCAGCCAGTTCGAGTTGATGGCTTGGGAAAGAAGAGGAGCAGCGGTGTTGGGTTCCGGGACAGTTATAGAGTTCAGACCTCGCTCTCGCTGAGTGGATATGTCCAGACTCAGAGGCTCGGGAAGATTGAAGGGTACAGTTTTGGGCGGCTCCATAACCGCTGAGTTCTTGGCTACCATTAGTCTGTCACCCTGGAGATCAACCTCATCTTGAACTCCAGAACTGGACAGAAGCGATACAGGTGGGTACACGCAGTCTCGCATGACTTTAGGCCCTCTCATATCCAGCCTGGACACTTTGGGAGGGAGTCTGATCTTCCTGGGCACTGGATTATCCCATGGTTCCTCAGCCTGGAGCATATATACGCCAGAAGCTGCAGAGGAAGGATGAGCGCGGCTGGAGGAAGTGGGACTCAAGAGAGACGCGAATGGTTGGCGGGAGGAACCAGTAGCAGGGGATGAAACTGCAGGTTGCTGCTGATCGCTGATCGGAGGTAGATGTGTTGGAGAAGCGTGGCCTATCTGAGGAAGGACGCGAAACATTCGATGGTGTCGGGCAGAGCCGAGCGAACCGCTGCAGGGCCGCGGACCCACTGGAGGTCTGACTTTTAACTTAGCAGTCTTCTTGGGCTGACAAAGACACAAGAAAACAATCACACGCATATCATGCACAATAAGGCACATAGACAGAACAGATATGGCAGATATGATCAGGAGTGGGCGATATGACCAAATTATATATAGCGGTATGTCACAGTAAAATGTCATATAAAGAAATGTGAAATTTAAAAACGCACCAATAATAACGTTTAAGTCAATACAGATAAGCCAAAATTGATCATATTTATACTTTTGTCAAAATAAAGACTAAAACACTATCAAATAAAAAATGTTAAACGCTACAAGGGAATTTATGCACCACATTATAATAAACTAAATAAAAAATGCATATTAATTTTGAGATCTGTTAAAGATGACATTCAATAGTGTTATTAAATTAATAGTGTTTTTTAAAGTTAGATGGTATCAAAGGTAATATAAATGTAAAAATGGGTGAAATGAGCATGCACAAATACAATTTCAGTATCACTAGTGATGATTATTGACTGGTAGCCAATATGGTAACTAACCACTAATATATTGTGCATCCCCAAAAATTGTAGACATATAATTATACTAACACTTTAGTATATGGACCAATTCTCACAATTAACTAGTTGCTTATTAGCATGCCTATTATTAATATATTGACTGTTTATTAATACTTATAAAGCACATATTCTGCATGACCATATTCTGCATCACTAATCCTACCCAATACCTAAACTTAACAACTACCTTACTAACTATTAATAAGCAGCAAATTAGAAGTTTATTGAGGCAAAGGTCATAGTTATTGGTTTGTTGATAGCGGGAATTGGACCTTAAAATAATGTATTGACAAAATATATAAACATATTTAAATAATTATGTGGTAATGAACATTTTTCTGGACTACTGGATGAGTCGGTGAATTCAGTAATATACTAATGAAGTTTGGAACTTGATGCATGCAAACCAAAATGTATCATTTAAAGTCTGAAAAAAGCTTCACATTATGTACCTTATTAAACTGTAAAATGAATATTGATATTAAGAATAATTTTACCAAAAATTAATCACATAAAATTATATAGATTCATTACTTTATTAATAGTAATAAATTATTATTAAAATGAAAAGCTCTGAATTCATATTGTACACACATTTGAAGCTGTTGGAGAATAAAATATGGCACATCTGTTGAATAATATGTCAAGTTGCGATATTGCTCATAACTGTAACCAATTAAACTGTGCTTCATGTTACACCTCCTAAGAGGTGATAAATTAGATGAAAATGATAGAATTTGAAGATGTTGACTGAAGCAATGCATACGTAAACATGCAAACTTCTCAACTAAAGTAGAAGTGTAAGCAATAACAACAATGGTTTCCTAGATATAGTTGTCTACTGACAACTATGCATAGTTGAGTGTGAATAATTAGAATAATTAACTTCATGTGCCAATCTGCTGAGCTTGTAGTTATTGCTGCGCCAGTTAATCAGACAGCGTGGGATGGGCGGCACTCCCGCAAGCCAGCTGGAGAACTGTGCGCACTTCCATAGCGCTCCACCGACAAATTTAATCAGATGTGTTTGACAGTAAGGAGGTTCATGCACTTCAGGATAAGATGATTTTGTTCGAATATGTGGAGGAGGAACGAAAAAATGTCTAGTCCGCCTATTCTGTTGTACCTTTTTGTTAAGGTTCATATTCTCCATCTTGGCCTTGAGCTGCTTCATCTTGCTCATTGTGATGGAGTTCTCCAGCGTCTGCTGTTCTGAAGATGCACTCTCTGTTTCCTCCTCCTCCTCCGCGTACACATTGCGTACAGAGGCGCCGCTGAAACACATGCATGGATGAACTCTTCGATTATTTGTGCTTAACAGTGCTGTTCATTTTCCTTATGCTACACTGAATAAATGGCGTTTTGGATCTTTAAATTGAGTAGTTGTTTTATGAAACGTCTCTCAGCTGTTGAAAAGGCTCAGGGGTTCATGATTAGGTTTTACCTTACCAGGATGGTCTGTGGTTAATGAAGGAAAACCAGCTGATTACAGCACTGCAGTTCACCCGAATTATTAAAAAAGACAAACATTTGAAACAAAAGGAGGAAGCCCTTATTAGTTTCATTTTCTCTGTAAAACATTCTGCAGATGGCTAACCAAGTTTGCTTTCCGATGAAAAAGTTGTATATGTCACAAAGACAGCTGACCCACTAGAAAATCTAAATAGTAGAAAGGTGAAGTGTGTCATTTCTGTGTCAAAATGGAATTGCAAACATACTTATTTTAACAATTTAAAAAATAAGTTGAGTGTTGCAAGAGTGTTCTGGGTGCTTGCTGACTGGCACAAGTATCTGATATTCTGCTTTTTAGATATGGATCAGATCACTCCGTCAATCTCTTTGGGAATTTTTGCTGCCCATTTTATCAACTAGGCAAAAATCTTACATTTGTATTATTTCTATTGTTTGTTTTAGCAGATTTCTTTTAGCAAAAACTTAATGAAAATTATTTTTGGAATTCTGTTTGCTGATTTTAATAAAGATAGATTTAAAATGTACAATATTTATACTTTTGTCTAAATATATTAAAAATGAAAAACTAAAATCAATTGTTTTAAATGCTACAAGTGAATTTATGCAGCACAACATGTATATGAAAAATGCATATTCGTTTTAAGATTTCCCAAAGATTACATTTAACCGTGTTATTAAATTATTAGCGTTTCTTAAGGTTAGATGACGGCAAAGTCTCAGATATTCTGGTGCTTAGATATGATCACTGCTTCAGTGTCAGTCTTCGGGAATTTTTGTTGCCTATTTTATCAACTTTATCAACTATTTTATCAACTAGCTGAATATTTTACACAGCCTATATTTCTTTTGAAAAGATTTATTTAGTTATTTATTTGAAAACATTGGTCTTTAAGCAGAAACCTTTAGTAAAATTATATTTAATCTTATATATAATTTTTTTAATTTTGTTTGAATTCATATTCATTTTAACATTTGTTAAAATTACATTTACATTACATTTAACAGTTATTAAAGAATTAGTGTTTTTATGGTTATATGATGTCAAAGGCAAATGATTTATGATTTACATAATTTATGGAAATAATTTTTATTTTTATTTTTTTTACTTCCGTTTGGTTTTGCTAATGATGCAGATGTTACAGACTGTTAAGCTTGCCAGTAAATGCTGATGCATGTCTTCATTAGCAAAACAACATGACACATGAAAACTGTAGCTCTGAAACATCTGCTTCCATCTAAAAAAGGGAACCAGAGTGCAGTGTGTGGACAGAGTTGTTCCTCTTGGCAAGTAATTTCTCTTCTTTGAACTGACCTCAATGATTCAGACACAGGTGTGAGAGTTCCATCTCCTCTATCCACCACTCGGAAGAAATTGAGCTGATCTCCCTCACGGTACACCAGGAAGGTGACCTGTTTATTAGGCAGAGACTTTTCCCACATCTCCTCTCTCCCTGCATCAAGGCAGTCAGCGATATCCCTTACCGAGTCATCTGTCACTGTCACTGCAGGTAACGAGAAGAAACACGATGCAGGTCATACTAATCAATATCAGACTGGTAACTAACTGTGTGCCTGCACACTTCCTGGAATGGTAATGAGCAACTTTTTTTTCCCCCTTGACCTCAAAACCAATGCACAATGGCACATAGGAAAGATTAGAAAGTTTGCATTGAATTGTTGCAGCCCTGTATTGCAGTAGCACTCGTCAAGACTTTCCACAGCAATCATAAACTGTCTCAGTGGTGTCCTCATTAAATATTCACGTGGTTTGTATAGTCGCAGCAACTTTCATGTGTTGCATTTCATTTCAGCATCTGAGGAAAACAGTGCTGAAGACCAATGGCAAGCACATTAACTGGAGCGTTGAATAGACTGTAATATATTTGTAGAATATTTCTAAAACTTTTACTTTTGAAAGACAAAAATATTCAACAGGAAAACAGAACAGAAAACAGAAAATCAGAAAAAGAAAAAAAAATATTTTAATACATTAAATGTACAAAATATATTTGGCACAGGTATTTTTAATGTACCACATTAGATACATCAGACTTTATGGTCTTTTTTGTTCAAAAATGTATTGTCCAATGCATTTACAATATTTAAATCAATGCATTCATTATTTATTAAAATCTTTTTTTTGCTGGCAAAGGAAACTTTTTATTTTTCTTTGAGGCACAGTTTCAATGCCAACAAAGGATAAGGTCAAGGTTATAAATAAAAATCTTAAATATAATCAAATATATTATAAATGTAAATAAATAAATATTATAACGGAGACAAACATTTTGGAAATTATACTGTAACATGAAATGGAAATTTTATTGGAAATATCTATTTTTATCTTTATGCTCAAAATATTATTGTCAACAACGTATCCATGCATATGTTTTTTAATCATCAACATTTTTTATTTTATATATTTTCATCAAAATTGATCCTCCAACAAACTTGTCTCTGGTGATGTATGCCAGACTTCTCCAATCCTTTAGTACATTTAACCCTGCCTTTTTCGAACAATTGACTGCAAGCTTGTGTTGATTTGATTAGGGTAGCAAATCAACAACTGGTGGACTGAACTAAGTCCCAACCCAACAAATTTTTTTATTTTTCACTCAAGACGTACACGATAGGAAATAAATGATCTATTGCTACTTCAATTACACTGCAACTTTAAAAGTCCTTCTACTTCCTGAGGAGCATAAATAACCCACCAGGGGGTAGAGAGTTTTATGGCCAAAGTACTGATCATGTTAATGATGTAGATGCCTTAGAAAAGATGCCATGCATCCAACAGAAAACCTGCAGCTTTATAGAGTTAAGGCAACCAGAGCAGGCCTATGATGACATTTTTACAGACAGACAAGCACTAAAGTACTAAAACATATTGTTTGCTGCACTCCTAGGATCATGTTAATAAGATAAAAAATAGGGTTTTCAAAAGCACTCAGGATGAATTACTATCCCAGGGTAAAGTATAGACAGTGTGAAATAAGGACCAAGATAAGCCAGGATTACATTAACCTGGGGTTCAGAATGACAGGTTTAACATTTTCAACTGTGAAAATCCCAGTCGGTGGAGAAAACGCACCTCGTCTGGTGTTTACAGGCCCTCCTCTCATGGCGAGCACCAGCTTGAGAGTGCAGCCCTCTGTGATGCTGAAAACACAACCATAGGAAAACTCAATAAATTCAAAACCGCTACTATACAGTTCTGCCTTTATAAATGTTTGCTTCACTTAACGTGAAGCACAATGAGTGCCATCCAGCCCCACAATATCTTCTCAGAAAGCCTCCATGTGGAACATTAACTGACAAGAATGTATGACAAATCCACCATCTGTGACCTCCAGACTGAGCCAGCCTGCTCTTGAGAGAAGTGGCTGCATTTAAAGAAACAGCTCACCCAAAATGCAAACGCTGTCATTATTTACTCACTTCCATGCTATTCCAAACCCTTTCATATGATTTCCTTTCTTTCGTGGAACATAAAAGATGTTTTTTGAAGAACGTCCAACCTGCTCAAGCGCAAATGTGATTTGAGAGCCGTGGCGGAGTGGTTTTCCGTGAATAACAACTTAAATTTCACTCTGTTCTTCATACAAAGCTATCTTATGGCTTCAGAAGTCATCGAATATAGAGCATGAGTCATATAAACTACTTTTATGATACTTTTATGCTGCTGATGAGCCCCTGGTCACAATATGGGGAAAAAACAGCTTGGACATGAAGCAAAACATCTCAGTTTCTGTTCCACAAAAGAAAGAAAGAAAGAAAGCTTTTAAAGCAACATAATGTGGTAGTTAAGCTTACTTCCTGTAATATAACTTCCTGGATCCTGTTTTGTAAAGTTGAAAAACAGACTGAAAACTCACCTGTAATCATGTAAGCAGTACTCATCTTCAAGCTCCATACCATTCCATATCAAATGCTGCTGAGAGACCGGGATCCCTGTGAATGAAGATATGCCATAAAAAGAGTATATGTAGCCATATTTTTATCATGCAAACTAAAATAAATATTCAACCACATGCACAGGGTAAGTCAGAGCAATAACGGCATCTAAAACACGTCAGACAAAAGAACAAACAAAGGAGTGACTGCAGAATAACAGGAGCATTTGATTGCAGTAAATGGTTGACCAAATGGAATGTTTCTGAACTGCAATCATTGGAGGGAAATAGAAAGAGTACAGAAAAAGCAGAGGAAATAAAACCTGGCCTTTGACATCTTATGAGCAGTAAAGATCAATGTCCAGTGACATTCTTTACAAAATAGTTTGGATTATTTTTACAAGGCACAGATTTCAAAGATAACTAAAAATAAAGATATCCAAATGGGGCTTTTAGCTCAATACAGAACCCGTAGGTGTCATGGTGGAGGGAAAAACTAACTGAACACGGTTTAGGATGAAAACTGTAAATCAAGTTCAATGATTAGTAAACCCACAAAAACTTGCTATTATGTGTCCTGATGTATTTAAATGTACTGGCCTGAGATTTACAGGCATAAAATTACACACACACATACACACACACACAAACTTGGGACAGCTATCTTCATAATTTATGGTGATCTTTTGTTCTTTTTAGAGCTTGACAGCTTCCATTCCAACTTGAAGAGGAATTAGAAAATTGTGTGGGTTTCGAAGAACGCAAGGGTGAGTACATGATGATTGACCTTTCACTTCTCAGTAATGTATTCCTTTGAGATTTAAATGATTTCACCAATGTTTTGAAGTCAGTAAGAATTTTTTTTTCATGTTTTTGAAAGAAGTCTCTTACGCTCAACCAAGGCTGCATTTATTAGACTGAAAATACAGTAAAAACTGTAATATCGTAAAATATTATTACCATGTAAAATAATGTTTTTAATTGTAATATATTTTAAAATGTAATTTATTGCTTTGATGGCAAAGCTGAATTTTCAGCTTCAGTCTTCAATGTCACATGATCCTTCAGAAATCAATCTAATATGCTGATTTGCTGCTCAACAAACATTTCTTGTTATAATCAGTGTTGAAAACAGTTGTGATGCTCAATATTTCTGTGCAAACCATGATACAGGTGCATCTCAATAAATTAGAACGTAACTTTTCCACGACATTCTAATTTATTGAGATGCACCTGTACATTTTTTCAGGATGCTTGATGAATAGAAAGTTGAATTAGAAATCTTTGGTAAACATCATAAATGTCTTTACTGTAACTTATGATCAATTTAATGCGTCCTTGCTGAATAAAAATATTAGTTTGCTTGTTAAATAGTTTATTCAGCAAGATACATTAGATTGATAAAAAATAACAGTAAAGACATTTATATTAATTTCTCTCTGATGTTACTGTTACTGTAAATGTTACTGGGTTTGTTTTAAGGGCCAGGTTAAATGAGAAGTATGCTGTGTCCTATTTATTCATGGCTGGTAAGTGAGACAGAAGAGAGGGCGTTTAACCAATGAAGTTAATCTTGTTGAATGGCTACTGCTAGCTAAGAAATGTTTTAAGGACTCGTCTTGTAATGCTGTCCTAACTATTTTGCTATGTTGTTCTGCAACCAAAGGTTCATCACATCTGACCAATTAGAAAGAAGCCATTTTGATGACCACACTCCCTGACGGACAGAAATATTTAATACACAAATAAGCAGCTTATTTAACCACAGAACTTTGAGGAACATTAATATACTGAAACAAATGAATCAATTCTGTAAAAATGCATAAAAGCAGATCAGAGTGACTCATAAGCAGAACAAATATGACTCAGATCTGCCCCCCTGTGTACACTAAACAAATCAACAATCATGTCAACTTTAGATCTAGCAGTGGTCAGAAAATAAAACAACACAAAGCACCTCAATGTTTGAAATTGCTATAAAACCTTTTTCAATGTCATTATGGTTGTTCATTTTTAAGACATTGTATTTGGACATAAAGATAAGTGTACCACTTAAATTTTTCAGACGTCTGCACTGGCCTGTGATTAAGCCAATATACGTACCTTTATCAGGTGTAAAGTGCAATAAGACACCAGAACGCACCCATGCAACACAAAACTGCTATCTGTTCCTAGAAGGGGTAGTTTTCTAAACAGGATCAGCAAGGAGTGTGACACAACCGTGTGAGGTGGTCAGAGCAGTTAGGGCGTGTGGCTTGCCCATTGTTTAGAGACATGCCTAGTAGGGTTGGGCCAGGTCTACAAAATTGGCATCGGACGATGTCTACAGTGAAACATCGCGATGGACGATGACATCGTCGGGGGGGTTAGGGGGTGTGCCCGAAGCGTGAATCCATATTCAGAAAACGATTGCTAACGGTTGCCTGTTACATTACAGTACATAAAATTTCACTTACCACATAAGCAGAGTAAGGAGAGATGACTGAGGACGATGGCGAATGATTTGCAGTTCCTCAGCACCACTGACAAACATCTAATCTTGTAAAATGTGTGGTAAGTACTGCCGCTCCATAGAACGTACGTGCGATCGCGAATCTCGAAAGTGAAAGTGAAACTAAAAAGCGATCGTGCATTCAAAAGCAGTTTCAATGCCAGGCATAATAGCGGCTAACTGATGCCCGCAATTTATACACAGTATAATTACCCATGATATAACTGCGAGAGAAATTATTAAAATATGTATTTTCATCCTATCTCCTATTTAATCCCTTTAGGGGTTCCGTATACACTTCATTTTCTTTCCGATCACGGTATTTGGATGCGGCG